AAAAAAAAAAAAAAAAATTATATATATAGTTAAGCAATTGTGCATTTCTTGTAATTAATTATATAATAACGATGCATTAAATTATATATGTAAAAAGAGCGAACAAAAAAAAAAAATTATATATATATAGTTAAGCAATTGCATATTTCTTGTAATTAATTATATAATAAAAAAAGTTTATAAAATAAATATTTTTTCTTTAAAAGAAATCTCTATGAAATTTGGTAAATCGGCATTTTAGCTCTAAACTTTAATTTTTAGTCTCAGTGCCAATTGTTTTAAAAAGTTTTTTAAAAGTTTTAAAACAGCTAAAAAACTGTTTAAAATGTTTTTTTACCATCCCTAGTAATTATACTGATTTATCGGTTTTTGACCTGTGATAGTAAGAAGTTAAAAAAAGAATATTTTTATTAGAAAAAGAATCAAAAAGTTTAAATAGATAACTTTGTAGTTAGATTGCAAGTATAGACATCTAGTGTAAAATTCTAAGTAAAATAGCTTAGATGTGAACGACTTAAATTAGACATCAAAAATGCACATGTAGCTAGTTATATTCTTATCTGTAACTAATATAACATGTATATTGATATATCTAAATAAAGTTTCTGACCAAGATCACCTTAACATTAAAAATAATAATAATAATACTTATTAAAACTTTTGTTTTTTTTTTTACTTTTATTTTTAATTTTAAAAATTTTGAAAAAATTTTTATTATATCTACTATTTTTGTTTTAAAATTTTAACAACTTTTATAACAATATATCTTTAACTATACAAACTTAACTTTTTTATTATTTACTTTAATATCACTATGCTTATATTAACTAATCAAGACCTTAATATAGCTAATCTTGATTATTTTTATACTTATTATAAAGATAATTATAGAATTGCATTTTTTGAAAATATATACTTACTAATACTACTTATAAAATATTCTATGAATCCATAAAGTTTTATCGAATTTGGTCAGATAGTTGTCAAGAAATATTTGCTCAAAGTTAGAAAAAAATCAAACCGCCTATCAAAATAGAAGCTGTATCAAACTCTATTTAAACATTTGAGCGAAGATACTCGACAACTATCTGACGAAAATTTTTTCATTTTAATTCTATTAATTCATAAAATTCGAACATCAAATTTAATCAGGTGGTTGTCGAGATATCTTCGCTCAAAGTCAGAGAAAAATCAAAACGTCTATCAATTTAAAAGCTGCGTCAATTTTTTCCCTAACTTTGAGCGAAGGTATCTCGACAACCACCTGACTAAATTTGATGAATTTTTTTTTATTCGAATTATATGGATTCATAGAATTCAAATAAAATTTTTTTACCGAATTTTATGAATCCATAGAATTCAAATAAAAAATTTTTTATCGAATTTTGTCCGATGGTTGTCGAGATATATTCGCTCAAAGTTAGAAAAAAATCAAAACGTCTATCAAATTAGAAGCTGCGCCAACATTTTTTTCTAATTTTGAGCAAACAATCACCTGACCAAATTCGATGAAAAGCTTTTATTCGATCTATTTATCCGTAGAATTCAAATAATTCATTGAATTTTGTCTGATAGTTGTCGAGATATCTTCGCTCAAAGTTTTAAAAAGAATTTGGTGCAGCTATTTTAAAGTGTGATTTTCTCTAACTTTGGGAAAAGATACTTCGACAACTATCCGACCAAATTCGATGAAATTTTTTTTTATATTCGAATTCTATGAATCCATATAATCCAAATAAAAAAAAGTTTATTTAATTTGATTAGAAGTTTGTCGAGATATCTTCGCTCAAAGTTTTGAAAATTTTGATAATTTGCACGTGATACTGTATAAGTGACGATCATTATCAAAAAAATAAATTTTGGGGTGCATCTAAAAAGTAAGTGCAGGTGCATCAAAATCGTAAGTTTTGCCACTCAATTATATGAATTTGCCACATGATACTAACACCATTGACTCCAACTAATAATACTAAACTATTGACATAAGATGAAAAAAAATGATGTATTTAATATATATAAAAATATATGACCGTCATTCGACATATACGATCATCAACTACAGACTTCATGCATTATCGTTGCATGCATAAGAAAATGAAACCTTGTTTAGTTTTGAAATGTACCCCTAATCCACTCCTTCGATACCCTTTCACGCGCCAAATTAACATTTCAGATAATTATAGAATGGACTGACAATGTAACAGGTATGTAAAATAAGATGATCCTACACGCGTAACACCTTAAATTTTAATAAATGTTAGTAATTTATTACATATTTACATATAAAAAAGCGATATATAGGTGATGATGGTGTGTTGGGAATGCACAAGAACAACGAAAACTCGAAACATTAATGTCACAGAATGCTATTTACAAATTATTTGTGTAGTTTGGCGAACGTAATTTCTTTTTTTAGGAAGTAGATTTTCAAACATTTATATAATTTTGAAAATATCGTTACCTTCACTTACTATTAAAGTCACAGGTTACAATTACGGGGAACTCCGATAAGATCTTGATAATCTATCGTTCAATTCGGTGTAAAAAAAGCTACGTACGTACTTTCTCAAGTTCGCTCTTTCGTGCATGTATGTTGAGAGGCATTCGAATTCGCTCGGACCGTTATACATATATACTAATTAAGCATAATGTACAGAATCCATCAACTGCGCATCTAGTTTAATAATCATTTATTATAAGATATATGTACATACCGATACGTATACGTACGTAATGATGTAGATGTATAATATTGATTTTACGTATTATACATTTATACATAAAATATGCATACCTACGATATCGGACAGCCTCACACCATTCCCCACACATTAAAAAAGTTCGATTTAAGTAATTTGGGTTGAAAACGAAAAAATATTGCTTATCAACTTACGTTAAAGGTTCAGATCGCCTTTAACGCATAGATGCAAATGGTTAATCATTTCAATAATACTCTACGAACCTTCCATTATATTCTTCTAAACTACGTTAGCTTATGAATTGGCGTAAAAAATGATACCGTGAATCATTAATATTAAGTATTTTTTTTATTACTCCTTTGTTTCGAAAGCAGCAACGTTTAGTCATGTGATCCATCAGATTTAGTAATACGTAGAATGACAGTAACAGGCATGATGAATAAACGGTAAAATATAAAAAAGTATGTATTCCTGTGCCGCTTGGCATATTTCTCTACAATTGCAAAAAAATTCTTTATGATTGCCATTTCTGTTATATGATTTGTCACTATTATCTGTATAAATAAATATATATATATATGTGCTGTAAATAAAAACAAAACACACGTAATGGTTCAAGTATAACAATGTTTAATAAAAAATCTTCGACGACTACATCAAACAAGAAAAAACCTTCGGAACGTATCAAAAAAACCATAAAATCGATTGTATCATCAAATGATACTAAAAAAAATGCAGCGGATGCTAAAAATAAAATCACACCCGTATTAAATAATGATAAACGATCGGAAACCAAACCTGTTGATGTAGGTCAAAAAGTATTGCCTAAACAAAAAAATGGCTCAAATGAATCTGACGAAAAAACTACGATTGGAAAACCTCCAGTTGATAAATCTTTTGACGTTTCAAAAACAAAAGCAGACGAATCCAAAAATAATTCTGGTTCAATTAAACCAGAAAAAAATAATACCATTAAAAAACGGCTTTCAGTAGCATCCATCTCATCTTTATCATCTGTTACATCAAATGCTGAAACTAAAAATCATGTTGCTGATAGTAAGCGACGCATGTCTTCAGCCATACGTTCAGAAACATCTTCGCGACCATCGACACCAGATATCATTAAAAGACAGCCTTCTTCAAAAATAAGTCAACATCCTTCACGACCAGCTACTCCAGATATCATTAAAAAACAGCCTTCTTCAAAAATAAGTCAACATCCTTCACGACCATCTACTCCAGATATCATTAAAAAACAGCCTTCTTCAAAAAATAAGTCAACATCCTTCACGACCATCTACTCCAGATATCATTAAAAAACAGCCTTCTTCAAAAATAAATCAACATCCTTCACGATCAGCTACTCCAGATATCATTAAAAAGCAGTCTTCTTCAAAAATAAGTCAACATCCTTCACGACCAACTTCACCAGATATCATTAAAAAGCAGCCTTCTTCAAAAATAAGTCAACATCCTTCACGACCAGCTACTCCAGATATCATTAAAAAGCAGTCTTCTTCAAAAATAAGTCAACATCCTTCACGACCAACTTCTCCAGATATTATTAAAAAGCAGCCTTCTTCAAAAATAAGTCAACATCCTTCACGACCAACTTCTCCAGATATTACAAGACGTCCTACATCTAGTCGTTTAACAGTACATGAAAATTCGACGTCAGAAATTACAAGAAGAGCGTCTACGCGTTCTTTATCATCAGCTGCCAAACGACCAACATCAATTATATCAAGCACGAATTCAAATACGAATTCAAGACCTGCCTCACCAGAACTTTCGAAAACTACGAAAAGACCTACCTCTATTATATCAGTTACGAATTCCCAACCAGCAGTGCTTGAAGTTAAAGCGAAACAAAGCGGTTCGACGAAACCACATGATTCCACAAATATCATTACCAAATCCAAACAATTATCTCAACCAACTCCACCAACACAAGGAGTCACTAATAAACAAAATATTTCTCAATCTTCGAGATCGCCTTCAAGATCGCCTTCAAGACCGCCTTCACCAGAAGTTACCAAGTTTCCAGAACCTCCATTGATATCAGGAATTGCTGGAAAACCAAGTACCTCCAAACCTTCAAGGCCATCCACACCCGATATCACAAAATCATCAACAACTGAGACTACAAGGAAACGTAGCGTTTCGAGACCGCCCACATTTGAAATTAAACCAGAATTAACTAGGCGTCAACGCTCACATTCTACTACACAAGTCTCATTCTTCACTTCAATTCATCCAACGAATACTAATTCAACTTCAAATTCACAAATTAAAAAGGATAGGCGAACATCATTTACGTCATCAATAGCATCACAAATATCTGATGATAGTTATTTTCAAAGACCTTTAACACCAACATCAGATACTTCAGCAGAAAGTAATGAAGTTATTTCAGATGATTATAATACATCATCGATCGATGTTAATAATAATAATATTCATGAAGAGACCAACAATGATCAACTATTTACAAAGAAATGGATAGAAGAAAATAATAATAACTTATCTTTGGATATGGCAAATGATAAAATGTGTTTAGTTATCGATAAAAATTCCACGGAATTTAACAGTTTATCGCACGAAGATATCAATCAACATAAAATTGATGACTCTGAACAAGAAGTTGCATCAGATAAAACTTGTGTTTCGACACTAGATTCATCAGATAATTCGACAGTTATAGAAACCTCTTTAGAACATACAGAGATATCAAACGATAAAATATGTAACATTTCAGTCCTTTCAGATAATAATAATCATAAAAACGAATTACAAGATGAACAAGATAATTCAATTCAGGAAAATAATCAAAATATAGATATAAAAGAATCTACAGAGATCTTGGATGAATCTTCTGAAGAGGTTAAAATTGAAAAGAAACCAAATGCAGTCGAGTTGGTAAATAGCATGATGCAAAAAATTAAAACAATGAAGAATGTTATCGATATTAACGGAAGTAAATTACCTGCCATAATAGAACAAGATCTTGATTTAGAACAGCATTCAGTTGAAGAAATCGTCAATTCAATAAATCTAATCGAAAATGAGAAATTGTCACGCATGACATCAGATACATCAGATAAATTAGATAATAAAAAGCATGATTTAAACCCAACAGAGATGGTAATGGATTGTGAAAAGCCACGTATATTAGTAGATTGTGCTACAGAGGAACAAATTTTTTCAAGTATAAATTTATCGGGACGAGAACAAATGTCACAAGACATTAATATTGAAAATAATAATACTTTGAATGATAATTTAAATGTAATGCAAAATAATATTCTTTTTCTTTCATCCGAACCTGCTATTATCGAACATAGGACAATATCAGTATATGCAGAACCATATAAAAAATATGTTGGATCGTATGGTACATCACCACAAGATTTTATACCTATTACAAACTATGAAACGCAAGATAATATAATGCGCGTTGATGAAAAAAGATTTGAAGTTATGCGACAAAATGTTTTAGGGTCATCGGTAATAGGATATAAAGAAAACACATTTACGGGTTTATTGAAAGAACCTAATACAAGTACTGAGAATCTTTTAAATTCTATTGATTCAATTCAACCGTCATTATCTAATAATCTTGATACAAAAGAAGAGCAACAATGTAAGATTAAAATTTATAATTATTGCATTTTTTTATTTTAAGTTTATGAATAATACTGAATATAAATTATATCTTTATTAAAATTAGATTATGATGTCTCAATTAGTGAAGGTAAAGAAATTTCTTCAAAACTCTAAAATTTTTCATAAATAAATATAAATTTTTTCTTTTTTAATTTCAGATGAGAATTTAGATTCAAAGTACAAAATGAAGAGACCATCTTACGGCACATTCCTTTCATGTAAGAAAATTTTTCAGTTCTATATAAAGTATACGTCAAAATTTTTCTAATTAATTAATTAATTAATTAATTATATATATGTATATTTTTTTTCTTTTTCTTTTTTTTTTATAGATTCAAATTCTGACAAATCTATCCATGATCCAAAAGATGAAATATCGTCATTGTGTTCTTGTCCAATTTGTTAATTTTTGATATTTTTGTTAATTTTGTTAATTTTTGTTAATTTTTATTTATTAATCATTTAAGTGTGTATATACACGTTATTATTTTTATTTTTCATAAACTCATTATTGTACGTATTGTATAAATTTATTGTTATTATGATCTTAAGAATTTAATAAATAAATACGAAAGTTACAGTAAGATAAATCATACCATCCTCTTTAAAATTTGTCATTGTTATAAGAATTTACTGTAACTGAAGATGATAGGCATTTTACGTACAGTATTAGGGGTCGAACAATGTTAGAATAAAATGGTTAATACAATATAAAGACCCCGAATACTTGGCCGAAAGTATTTCGAAGAATGTGTACACTTTATAATAACTTTCGACGACTTTGAATTTTAATATACATAAAATTCAAAGTTCAATTTTAAAGAATTTTCCTCTGCATCTTCTCATTTGTAAGAGCAGAGGAATATCCAAAATGAATGAATTCAAATTCTTTCCCTTATACATCATCATCTGAAAAGTCATCATCGTATATAATTTGTTTTAACTCGGTGCTAAATCGTACTTGTTTTAGAGAAGCAGATTTTATTTCGAGTTTTTTAATTGATGACTTGATGATTTCGCCATTCGGTTTCTGAAGTAATAGGTTTCCGGTATGTGTTAATCGTGGTGATGTAGTTAAATTCTCTCTTTTCAAGATAGGAGTGTCACGTGTAGACATTATCTGAGTTACTGATTTATTTTTTGTGTTTATATTCTTCGAATCTAAAACTTCAATAGAAATAGCGATAGTTTGTTTTACATTTAGAGACACTGTAGTATGTTTAGATGCTTTAGGTGCTACGTAAGGCATTATGATTCTTATCGATCAAAAAAAAAAGTGTACTTGTACGTACGTGGCCTGATAATGCACCTTTTTATTTGTTTTCATAACTTTATGCGCATGTAAATATGTATATATATTCGGACATTATAAGTTACGTTCAAATTTACTAAATTATATCTCTAACGCAGAAATAAAATGGAATAAGTAAAAAGTGATAAATAATGATGATGAAAATAGGGAAATTTTTTTTTTTTATTTATGTTACATTTTCTAAAATGAATTTCCCATTGGGAAAATCTTATTTCATAATCGTATTCCGAATTCCGAATTCCGTAAACATTGACCGATATACTTAATAATCCCTGATCATTGTATCAAGATCAAAGCTAATCAATATTTATGCCATTTGTGCCGTACTATAAAAGAATACTTTACTAAAGAGGGTAATGCCAATAAAATCGATGTCGGAAGATTGATTGAATTATTGGGCTTCCGACTAGCGCATCAGAACAATTCAGCATTCCATGTGGCGTGTAATGGCATACCACTGGCACACCATGATATACAGTATTTACAAATAAGTATTTACTGTAAAAACTGTAATATCGATATGACTATATTGTGCCTAATATTGTTTTTGGCAATGATTATGAATCAAGTGGCGCTACATAGTATCAAATATTACTACTACGTACGTACGTATACGGAAATTCAAACTTTGATAGCGATAGACACAAAAACCTTATTTCAACTGATAACGATAATATGTCAGAGCATTACTTGATTCGTTATCTTTGACTCAATTTTATTGGTTAATTTTTGTATAGATGACTCAAATTAGTTAATTATATAGTAATTTTTATAACCTTTTTTTTTTTTTTTTTTTAGAAACAAAAAATAATAAAGTAACTTTATTACTGTATTACTATATAAAATAACAGTCTTTGATTTTTTAATAACTATCTAATTATAAAAAAAAAATTTATTTAATTTTGTAAAGAAAAAAATTTAAATTTATTCTAGTATTTGAAACTCGAGTATAATTTGTATACTGTATAGATCAATATTATGCAAATATTAAAAAAAATTTAAATTAAAAAATCGATTAAAGCTAGAGTTGGGTTAAAGAGTAGTTTATATTAAAATTTTACACATGTTTTTTATTAAAACTGAAATTTAGTTTTTTATAAACAAATCTTGAGTTATTATATATATTTGTATTTTATATACTACAGTACAGACAACCGTCACAGCAAATAAAAATATTTAGAGGTCAAATTTAGATTTTATTTTTTATATATGAGTGCTGTCAAAAGAAAACCTGGTATTGAACTTCAATTATGTTTTGTGTACAGTTAACTGTCTATGGAAAATCTATTATAATGATAGATTTTCCATAGACGACAAACTGTGCACAAAATATAATTGAAAGTCCAATAACAGGTTTTCTTTTGATAGCACTCATTATAAAGAGGACAATTTAAAAATTTAGCTAATTTTATATATAAAGTGGCTAAATTTCAAAATTTTAAATTAAATTAATTGTTTAAAGAGGCCAAATTTGTTTTTTTTTATATATATAAAAAAGATGGCCAAATTTTATATTTGATTATAAAAATACTATAACTTTAACTTGCTATAACTTTTATAAATAGATTTAGGCTGCAAATAAATATTTAGATTACCTATTAGGTTCTCTAGATGTTTGAGTTCTTATTCTTAGCACTAGGTTTAAAATTTAAAACCTTTTTCAATTAAGATAAAAGCAAGGTCTCACCTTAAATAAATAAATAAATAAATTTAAAAACATGAAAGTGTTTAGCTTGTCTTGATTTAATATTTCAAAATAGTATTTTGTGTATTTACTATTTTTTTAAAAAAGAATTAGCAATTTGAATTTTATCAATTTTATTTATTGGTAATGTTCAGCACAATCAAACAAAAATTTGATAGTCAAATACTTGTGATATCAAATAATTACAAAATAACTAATATTACATACTGTATATATATATATATATATATAGTATTGGTTAATATGTAATTGTTTCAATATCTAACTTAATTACAAGTATTTGACTCAAATTTTTGTTTGATTATGCTAAGTACTATTTATTAGGACTAGGTTGACTATACTGTAGTATATAAATAAAAATTATCTATATAAGAACACTTTTTTATAATAATAAAAAGCTTATAATTATTATAATTATAAGAAATAAATTAGATAATTAAAAAATTACTTGCTTTTTATATTGTATATACAATATACAACCAAATAACTTTTAAACTCTTTTTAATGATCACTTGGACTACAATTTCCAAAAAACTATTTACTAGAAAAAAAATACAGTACACTAGTATTTGGTTAATAACTTTAGTATAAAACATGAAAAAAAAACTATAAAACAGCAGCTATTATTTAAAGATAGTTCTCATATACTACTTGCTAACAGCCTTAAAGCTTATCATTCACTGCAAGTACAGTACTTGTTATTTAGAAGTAGTTTTTATATGCTATTTGCTGACAAGTTTAAAGTTTATTACTCACTGAAAAAACTTAGTACTATACAGGCTTTGGTGTATTGTTAATTCTAGTAAAAAAAAACTCATACTCTTTTAGTAGTTTCAAGTGTTTTTTTCTCTTTTATATTTTGCCAACCTCACCAAAATTTTTAACAAAAAGTGGGCATTTTAACTTACCTCTTCCAAAAAATTAGCATTGTTTATACCTTCTATTTTTAAACAGATAAAGTAAAACATAAATACAGAATTGTTTTGGTAACAATATTTTTTACACTATATGATAACCAATTGGTGCTCTAGTTAACAAACCAACTTAGACCAAATAGTAAAGTCAGAAGAAAATTTAACAATAAGGTTTAACTTTACAATAAAAATATACAAGATTTTTTAAATTTAGTATATAATTTTTACAACTATGTCTAATATAGGCTATAATAGTGCTTTCATAAATTGTGGTTTTTTCTGCTTTCTTCTTCTTTTTTTATTTGTTTTTATTATTTGTTTTCTTGTTGCTTAGGCAGTTTTTTCTTTTTCTTTTCATTTTGTTTTCTTTATTTTTGTTAGTATTGGGGTTTTTTTTATAAATCAGTTAGAAACTATGAATTCTTCTGCTCGGAAAGCTAGAAGAAGAAGATTAGAAAAGAAGACAATCTTAATAGATTATAAATACCATTTAGTAATGTATTAGAAAATCCATTTGCAAGATTTTTTGATATAAAGATAAACTTTACTATAACAAATTAAACATAAGTAATTTGGGTACTTTGGTGTTACAAAAAGCTAAATTAGCTAATATTTGTAATTTAGATAAACTTTAGATAACTTTAGTCAAAATTATATATATATACTAGCTAAAAACTTGTACAATAATACACAGAAAAAAATATACTAAATTTTGAATAGTTTTATTTTTATATAGCTATAAACCTGTGTGATATATAACTTTCTAGTTAGGTCACACATATAGCAGCTAGTATAGAACCTTCAGGCAAACTATTTAAATTAGATACCAAAAATATATATATGTAGCTAGTTGTATTTTTATAATATTAATATAATATATTATCAGTCTTCCTAACCAAGCTAAATTGCTTGTACTAATAAAATGCCAAAAGCCTAAGTAGTTACCTTA